CAGAGAAGTCCAATAGGCAGGGAGAAGCATGATCTGAAGCACAAGAAGAAGGTCATGGATAAGGACAGAGATTTGAAAGCCACTGACAGTATGGATAACCTAAGAATAGTAGAGATGGAAGATATGAACATTTAAAGATAGAACACTTATAAAATAGCAACACTTAAAAAAAACATGAAGAGGAGGTAAATAATTGATGGTAAATAATTAATAATTAATGAAAGGAGAAAAGTTGCATGAAATAGGAACTTATGATTCCTTTAAATATCATTCTGGCTCAATACAAATCCCATATGCTTGGAGAAGCACAGAACACTGCAATATTTAACTATGGTTATTATCTAGAAGGCACTGCTAGAACACAGAAAAAGCCCCAAATGTATACGGAATACACCTAATTAACACTTTGACATAACAAGACAATGCAAAGCAGGGTCAAGTTGGGACAAAATCTTATGCCTCACATACCTTATAAATTATCTAACACCAAAAACAAAATGTCAAGCATCATGCACAAACCACTTACCCAAAATTGAGTTAAAGGTTGAAGACAAAAAAAAAAAAAAATGCCCCAAACAAAAAACCCTTAAAAACAAGTGTCAAAAGAAACTTGTTATGACAATATAAAGATATGTTTGGGAAATGCTCTCAGTTCAAAAATTGTGAAGTTAAATTCATTACAAGGCTTGAGAACAAAACTAGGTCCTATATCGGTGTTACCTGATTCAAGCTTTTTTAATATTTACAGGTCTAAAATAGAATTGCTAGCTTAATGCTTGTTTCTGGAAGAAGTACTATCTAGCAAATAAACTATTTTATTTGTATTTTAAAACAATGTTGGCTCACTAGAAGAAAATAAAACAATTAAAAGTCAATCAGAAAAATATCATGAGGACCAAAACTGCAAAACTTGCAAAGCAGCATTCTGTAGAACACAATTACAAAATTGACGATGATCCTTGCATGTGGATTAGAACGGTCTGGGTGTGGAATGGGTAGAGAACAGGGCCATACAGTACTGCTAAAGAAAAGCAAACTTACACATATCAAAAAACTACACTATACAAAGATAAGACTACAACTTACATTGGGAGACTGTAAAGGCAAAAATTACAAGGAAAGAAGGCAGGCAGGCAGTCCTCCAATAAGGCATACATTCATATAATGGATCACTAGGCAATTAAAAATGTCTTATATGCGTTATGACGTGTAAAACTGTTCAAGATTATTAAATGAGAAAACAATGCTATTGATATTCTCAATAAAATGCTTTGTGTCCAAAGAAAAAAGTTACACACATGTGCGCACACATACATCTGGTGTATGCACAGAAAATTTAGACATATACAAGAAATTTGAGTGGTACCTTGAAAAAGAAGAGTAGGATTGAAGGAGGCAGGAAATTGTCACCTTCTACCCTTCTACAGTCAAAACAAAATAAGCATGTTATGTTTGCGTTTTATGTCAAACATTAAAGAAAAAAATCAGTATTTTAGAAGGTGAATAAAGGGAGAACTGCTATGTATAAAACCACACCAATACAGACACAATCATTTAAAATGCTTCAACAAATTCAAAAGTATGTTAAGTACAATCTCATAACCAAAAAAGAGCCACACCCACAAAACTTTACTTGGACAATCATACAGATTTCAGTAATATAAAGTAGAAATTAAGCCTTGCAAAAGCTGTAATTTACATGTGAGGGTTTGGTTGAGTCCTCCTATATAGTGTGATCTGTTTACACTCAATGTTAGAGCTGGAAGGGTGTTCAGAGCAAACAACTTCATTTTATATTTACCTCTAGACTACTAATCCCCAGTAACAGAAACCCTAGGAGTTTCTATTTCAATAACATAAACTATTTGCAGAACCCTGTGGAAAGATTTATTTATTCTGAATAGATGTCTGCTTTTAAAATTTTAGAGCAGGGACCAGTCTCTTGTTTTCTGCTGTATACCCCAGCACCTAGAGCACAGTAAACGGAGGTACTCAATATGTATTTTTTGGAGGAAACGTAGGTATATAACTTCTGTGCAAAACTATGAGGAATTTGTAAGTTCTGAAGTAAAAGAAAAGGGGGCAAGATTAAAATGTGGAAACTGGTTCCTCTGAATTGGGAAAGACATAGCACATGTGATCTCATGCCCACAATTTCACTTTTTTTTTGTTTCTAGCAGTGGAAGAAATAATCACAAGACTATTAAAGTCTAAAACTATCCAAGGTACTAGGAATTTCTACTTTGAAATTCACAATAAGCAAGATACCAGAAAGTATTATTCAAAGACACTACAGACTAGGGCTGAAACTTTGACACCAAGTCCATTAGTTGTGAGATGAGGAGTGAAGAGATAGTAAGCTGGATGTTTTTAGAGACTGATGGGCAAATGAGCTGGCTGGTCTTGGCTACTGAGGAAAACCTAAGAGTAGTATCTCTCAAATTATATGTGATGAAGGACCACTTTTAAACCCCAAACTGCACTCTTGTCAAAAACATATTTTAAAAAATCCGTTAGTAGAGAAATGATCACATACTTTAATGTCACAGCAATATCAAATTTCCATAGAAGTTTCTAGACATTCTTTAATTTTTTTACTGGTCCAGAGAGACACCAGATAGCACTGACCTACGGTTTTGTTTTTTAATGTCAATCTGACCTGAAATTTCGCATTTGCCCAGAAGGTCTAACTCTGAGTGAGAAAATTCAGCTCTTTTTTTCCTCTACTCAATAATGAAGACAATCCATAACAATTAAGAGATAAAAAGTAGCACAGAGACTTGTCATTAACTTGTTTTAATTTTAAAATGTAAAACATCACATTATCACACTGCCTTAGTAAATTAAAATTATACTTTTGAATGCAAACTTCAGCATTTAAGAATCTCAGCTCAACTTGAAAACTTTGCTTTATTTTGCCATTTATCTTAGAAGATAACAGGATATAGACACTTAAAACTGTATACGAAAATATTCACTTAATCTATGCACCTCTAAACTCCTGTACCTTTGTCTCCATGTTCTCAAAAACCCCCAAATGATTAGTTTAGCTGACTGCGAACAGAGTGGCCTCGGGGGACACTCCATCTATTATTATACGTTTCATTACCAAAGGAAGTAAAATTTAAAATGTCCTGACCTATAAACTTACCACAATCTGGTGCAATTTACTATAGCCCATCAGGTAGGCTCTATATCACTGAGACTGTATAATGTGCTTTACAGGATCTCCAAAACCAAATTTCCAGGATTCAAATCCATACTAAGCGACTTAAATCCTCACTGCTTGTTTCTTCATCTGTAAAAGGGGGATAATAGCACCTACATCAAAGGATTATTGTGCAGGTTAAAGTGCGTGTGAAGTGCTTAGAACACTGCCTGGCACATAAGTACTAAGTAAGGATTTTAACTTTTTGATTCTTACGTAGTATGCCTCAAATCCTTCTGTAGAACTGGAATTATTAACAAAATTGGTTAAATGAAATATGGCACATCCCTACAGTGAACTACTATTTACCCATTAAAGATTATTTTAATAATCTACTATGAAAATATATTTATTTATAATATCCTGTTAGGGAAAAGTAACTTAGAAAATCATATACAATCTAATCTTATATTTAGAAAAGATGCTAATAAAGTTAGGAAATTTGCAAGTCATTGTGGTACTTAAGTGGCATTTGCCAAAAGTGACTCAGAATCATTCCTCCCCACCCATACTGGGAAAAAGACTTAAAACCGAATGTGATTCTCAGATGGTAATAATGAGGACAATCAAATGCTATAAATTAGGATTTTAAAAAATTTAGAACTGTGTATATTTAATGCATTATTCCTCCTCTACCCGCCAAAGCTGGTACTTCTGAAAATGGACTGGATCCTAGAATTAAGGAAATCAAGCATTAATTTCTAATAGATATATTCCTCCAATGCCACCCATTGCCCACACACTACCACCTCCACAGTCACTTTTAAGCAAGCTCTTGAAGTGCTCACAACTACGCATATAAACAAAGACAATAAATCACCTTAAACAATCACCCAACCTTAAACAACAGATATTACTAGGTACAGTATATTCAGATTATAAACACAAAAGACTCAGTTATTTCTAGAATACTCAACAAGGGGTGTTTGTGGTATTGCGAGTACTCAGATGGTAGCCTGTGGTACACTTTATTTAAACTGTTTTAAATTCCTCAATAAAATCAATACTATTAATTTCATGTTTATTTTATATAGGATTTTTGTCAAACTTAGCAGCTTTAAAATGATTAATTCATAATCACTAACTAAAGACGAAATTTCAATTAACGGTTCTCATTCTACCTACAGTTCAACTTACCCTTTTGTCTACAATATAGCCATATTTCATTTTATGGGATCTGAAATATACAATTATTATAAACAAACTGTTTTCAAATTTGCTTTCAAATGATGCCTATAAAGAGGAGATCAAGTTTTCAAGTTTACATAAATCTATACTACACCAATTCATCATTATAAATACAAGCATTCATAACCTGTTTACTCTAATTCTATTTAGACAGCAACACTAACAAAATTCTTAATGCATACGCCCCCCACCACCTGTAACTCTT